AAAATTTATTTATTAATAAAATTTTTTATTATTTAAAAAATAAAAGTGTCCACAATAATATGGGCACCCTCTGTATAATCAGTGTTATCAATCAAAACACAAAAAAGAACTCCCTATACCTCGCAACTGGCATACATTCCAACTGGAAGCTCCAATCAAAACAGGTATTAAGCGATGCCTACTTGCCAAATGTATCATACAATGGAGATTATTGAATTGCAACAGAATAAACATCAGTTCACACACTTATACCAAAATAAATTGGAAATACTCCATCAACAACATTCATCCCTCAAAAATTACAAATAATATAACAGATTTCAAAGATCATAACCTCCGCAAATTTTAAAGTAAACTGTGGAATTTGGAACTCCCTACATTAACCAAACTACATCAAAGAAACAAAAACACATATCCTAACGAAACATGCATATTTTGCAAACAGGAAAAGGAATCAACAATGCATCCATTCACTTGTGGTCAACAAAAATATGATACTCAACAACAAATAATCAAAATCTTAAATGAGGAAATCAGCTCACGAAGCAAAAAAAAAACAAAACATCAACTTTTTGCAGAAATTCAAACACACATCAATTTTTGGAACACTGAAATTCTAAATCTCAATATCAGAGGAGCAATCACACATACAATAGTCACAATTATAAAAAAATACATTGATAACAAGGACACCCAACAATGCATTACAAGCTACTATAACAGATTACGTGAATACCTACTAACAATATGGATAACAAGATATAACAAATTCTCCCAATGGGAAAAATTACAAAAAATAACAAAAAAACAAAAAAGATCCTGAACACCAATCAAGAAATCCAAAGCAGAAATTCTCATCGATCAAGAAATAAAAGATAGATATCCACATATAGTCAACAAATATATGACCAATTATATTAAATACTTATCTGATATAGAAGAAATATTCACAACTAGTCTTTATTCCAAGGGTATTGGTAGTACCTTGGCGGGTTAGCCGTCTCAAGGAGATTCTAATGTTTTGTCTTACAAAACAGGCAACAAGCCGCATGGTGGAGCAATCCTAATGAGTTTACTTTATATTTTAAGAAAGTCATCGACTTCTTATAATTTTTTGCATGTATACAAAGTTGTATCTCAAACAATTATTTTAATAAAGTTAAACAAGGCAAATGCCTACCCATTTAAAAAAAAAAAATAATAATAAATAAATTAATATTACTCTCTCCTGGTCATGTCCGTTTTGCTAAAAATTTTCATATATGATAATTTTGATTAAAGAAAAATGTTTTACACTCTTTATTGCAAGTGAGCCCTAACTCAGGAATCCAAGAACACTAAAAACAACTGATGCAGTGGGATGAAACCTCTGATCGAAGTCTACTCAAGTTTGGGAGTCTTGTTTATCCTTTGGTTGCATGGGAAAAGGCCCATGGTAGTACACTTTGTTTCTTTGGTTCTCTTGCAACCCATACCTCTTTTTTATCATGAAAACTATCCTTATATATATACATATGGTATAAATTATTTTGCAGTTGACTCAATTGCCAAAATCCTCAAAAATAATTGTGTCTGACTTAATTATTTTATATGTTTTAATAGTGACTCAATTAATTGCGTCAAATAATTGTGTCAATTGCGTTAAGGATCTACCAATTTCTATCACATGTATACTCATATATATCATCACAATCGCTATATTCATAAAAAACACACTCAAACAAAGTTGTAGGTCCTAATGTTTGTTTCAACACAACCTTCACATATTTTCTTACCCTGGTGTCACTTACTGTGCCACCCAAAAAAATTTTCAATCTTTTTTGATCTCAAAAACTGAAATCAGTTTATCCCTTCCAATTGATTGACGTCTGGCAACCGTCCAATCAAAATTCACTATATCACTCAAATCAAAACAACAAAACTGGTTTAAATTAGTTTATTAATCCAATAATAACAACAACTGGCTCAAACTGGTTTACCTGTCTAATCCCTACCATAATAACTAAAACTATTACAGTAAACAACTTCAAGTATATTCTATTATTCGTGTCAAGAAAAGAAGCATTATCAAGTCACAAAGAACCGGCGATCCAGAACAACGAGCCTGACAAAGTGTTCTTTTGGAGATTCATCTTTTATTTTCATAGATTTTATAATTTACTCGACTTAGTTCAGTTTTAGTTAACTTTATTTTTTTCTTTTCTTCAAATTTCCAAAATGTAAAAACTTTTTTTTCTATGTAGGTAGGCATAGTCACTACTCCTTTTATTTAGCAATTAGTATAGTTTAAAATTTCTTTTCTATATTAGTTAAATATTGTAGAGTAGGCAAGTTAGCATTAAACCTATTGTATGCTTTTGCAACTAAGAGATATTGGTTCTTTCCTAAATGTATGCTATTATATGTACGAAATAATAAAGAACTGGTGTTTACCTACTTAAAAAAAAAAATTAATAAATAAATTAATATTAGTTTATAAAAATATTTAAAAACAAATAATATTTTATAATAAATTAAAATATTTAAAATATATATATAAATTTTTAAAAATTTTGGCAAGCAATATCTGATTTAGAAAAAAAGAATGAGCAAATATAATAATTCAAAATTTTTAATAATATCAAAAATTATTTGAAAATTATTAATTAAATTAGTTTCAAATATTAAAAATTTTTTTATATTATTTTATTATACTTATTAAAATACTTTTAATAATAATTTTAATATTGTTTAAAATTAATATCAAAAATTATACAATTAGTATATTGATATTTTTATATTTATTTTAGAATTTTTATCATATTCAAATATATATTTAAAAACAAAATCTTCAATTTTATAAAATAGATTTAATAATTCAAAATATTATTAAACAATTTTAATTACTTATTTTAATTTAAATAATTATTAGTTTCTTGATAAACATATATAAAATTTTATTAACAAAACCTATTTTTTTACTAACAAATATTTTATTGTTATTTACATAAGCTTGGTTATTTATTATCAGATTATAATAATTTATATATGAATATTTTCAATTATATAACAACTTTAGATAAAGAGATTTAACAAAGATTTGTTGTGGCCTACTTTTTGCATTAATAAAAATTTTAATCCAAAATAATGGCATTAATTGAATCAAAAGATTTTGAAATTTTTTAAAAAATATATTTTAATTATTAAAAAATGTTTTGACAAACATCTTTTAATACAGAAATTTATTATAGTGAATGGTTAAAAAAATTAAAATTATTGATCATCAATCACAACCTATAGAACTATATATTTTTTAATTCGATTGTTGTTTATGAATGTAAATTTTCAAAACAAATTAAATTTAAATTAAATTTTGCTATTCTATCAATACTTTAGACATGTTAATGTGCATTTCATTAGAAGAATCAGAATTAGAAAATTTTGATTTTCAATTAGCATTTAAAGTTTGGAAAATCAAAAAATAAGATAAATTTTAATTTACAATTATATGTTTTTATAAATGTTTTATTAATAAACATATTAGCATTAGAGGATTATATTTTACTTTATTGATTAATAAAATAATGATATTTAGTATGTTCGATATCTATTTCTACGATCATAGGTCGCGACGGAAATCGGGATCTGCACCACGTGTAACATCTGTTCATAGTATCGGTTCTAAATTATACATAATAGAATTTAAACAACAATGGGAACGCCCACGTGTCATTGAAAATTAGAAATAAATCTCTTCTATACATTTTAGCTTTGATACATACTGCACAATGCCATTAGTTCATTGTTTTATTATTGTTCTTTCACTTCAATTTACAATAAATGAGGCCCGTCCTAAATTTTCTTCTTAAAATTAAATTTATTAAAAATATTTTTTAAAAAAATTCTTAAAAATGTTGGAAGTACAACAAAACATTTTTTTTGTCGTTTGGCTGTACGGAGTTGGATTTGCGGTAAGTCCTAAATGGAATGGTTTCCTCAATAATAAAACGTTACTTATCGGTTATCATTCAACATAGATATATTTTCATAATTTTTTCATCTCTATCCTTCGATACAAAACTCGTCCTAATGGATCCAACGTCCTTAAAATCATCATTAACTGTACTGGAACAATTGGTTGTATGATTAGATTTGTTGTTAATGTTACCCCGAGCACCATAACGTCATTCTGGTGTAAAATAATCACATACATCGCAAGTATCAACAGTTTTGTTAGCAAAATGGCGATAGGAATATTTTTATTATGGAAATTAAAGCAATTTGGTATGACAAAATACGATAAATGGATAAGTTTTATATTAATATTAGCAAGAAGTGTGTGTCACGTAAGTATATAAGTATGTGTTATTATAACTAAGTAAATCGATAATAAACTAAATCTTGTTAAATAATAGGTATTATATTTAGTGTTCAACAACCCTCTAATGGTTACAGTCCCTTCTACGTTTTCGTTTACAAATACATTCAACGTATGTATAATCAATGCCCGCCCAGCGCTCAAGCCACAAATAGCATTCATTACGGTTGACTTTTTAATCGATTTATATGTGATAGTCAGATTAGCCATGATCTTTATGGAGGCAAATAAGAACGCAGCAGATATCAACCCTATTACAAATCGCCGAAAAAAACGCACAATATTTACCGCAATAATTTACTGGAATTATCTTCGTTTATTTGCGGTTACCGGGTCTAACATAATTGGTGTGGTCTTTGTTTTTCAAGATGCGACTTCGACTAATATCAATTTCGATGAAGCTGCCGCCAAAGAATTTATTCAAGCCTTTTTTTTAATACTTATATCCTATGTTATAACTGTTGATGCAGAGATTATTAAAATCATTGAGCGGAACGATCAGGGAAATAAAAAGGGTAGGTTAAGTGACTCGATAAATATAAATAGTTTCACTGAAAAACCCAGACAATAGTTTACCCACAAATCATTATGAAGAGAGCCATAATGAAAGTAAATCTGCAAAGTAAACATTCTCTAGGTGGGTTAACATGATCATAAGTTTTCATAACAATGGTGCTCGTGAATTTAAACAGAACGATTTAGAAGATATTACAGGAAGATACTCAATGAAAACAGATTTAAATCGAAAACGTATAATGATAATATTAATGGAGGGTTTATATAAAATCTGGTTTAGTGTAGGATGTATATTTAAGATTTTAGATAATTGCTTTATGTATATAAAATTTTTTTAAAAAAACCATTATTAGGAAAATGGTATCGATTTTCGGGTAGTTTAGAGTGTGATTACAAATGATATCGTTATATTCAGGTAATAAAATTTAATTTTATTTTATAAATTACGTTTAGGGTTTAAACATGGATTTAGTTATTGAACAGTTTTATTTGGTTTAGTAGGAATCCTATAGGTTTAGTTTTTTTTTTTTTTTTTAAACCTGCAATCAGGCTGATGTTGTTTTATTTATTAAATTATAGAACCAATTACAAGTAAGAAAATACATGCAAAGTATAAATCTTTTCAACCCAGCTTATCTGTCAATAGTTGAAACCTCTAGATGTGATTTATGGGAGTAATATGTTGTTTTCCTAATGGATAGGATTAAGATCCAAAGCTTCCAATAGGATTAAAATTTGCAGATCACCTCTATAGTTATAATCATAAATTTAAATTGTATCAAATTCCTCTTGCAGAAACTATGTAAGAAAAAAGGAATAAAAAAGAAATTTTAAGAAAAGAAAAAAATAGTATAAGTGTGCACAAAAAGAAAGGATAATAAAAGAGAAAAAAAGTTATCATTTATTCTAACTATTATTAAAAAGATTATTTCTATAATCTAAAACCTAAGCCTCTCATAATTACTATTATACTTACTTTTCACTACCTGTAGTCAGCCAGACTGTTTAATTTCTATTGAAGTGGCAATATCCAAGAATATTTAAGAGTACTTTCAAGTGAATATTTCTTGAAACTTTATGCTTAAAAACTTCTAACCAAAAAGAATATTGGTTTTCTATTGTTAATTTCTCTTCCAAGCCATGTTTTCTGAAATATTACTTTACTTAACCAATAAATAGTTTCAAGACCTCTTTTTCCAACCATTTTGAGATAAATAATTGTTACTTCAACTTGTCACCAGATTGAAATAGGACTTTAGTCTTGTATCTACTCCCTGTCTCTAGAAAGAATAAAAAAGAAAAAAAAACAAAGTAAACAAAAAGTGTTGTTTCTTCTTACTTACAACTTTAACTTTATCTAATACTTCCATATTACTCCTTCAGCTAAAAACTGTTCAACTCTTTTAGGAACCAATTATATTATCAGATTTGATGTCGCACAACTAGAAACATATGAAAGACATGTATTATTTACCTTTTCTATAGCTGATGTAATTAACCAATCTGTAACCTTAACCAATTATTTTTAGGAGATCCGATATAACCAAAAATTTAGAATCAAACTAAGGTAGACAAAATTCTTCAAAAAAATCAAAAAAAAAATATACTTAAGAAAAGAAAGTAGAAAGCCAAAGAGATTATAGAAAAATTAAGAATTTCTTTTTTTTTATTTTTCTGAATTCTTGAATCTCTTAAAAATTTTTGAAAAGTATTTTTTCTTGCCAATTTTTTTTTTAGAAAGGTGTTTTTGTCATAGATCTCTTAGATAAGTTTCTTGTATTTAATTTGCAAAAAAAAACAAGAAAAATGTTTTGAAAAAAAAATAGACAAGTAGTAATTGCTGCTTGTTTTGTTGATTAAGAAACCAGTGTTTTTAAAAAAAGTATATATACATTATTATTATAAAGATATAAATCTTTTGAGAACATTTGTTTTTTGAATTGACAAAAGAATTAGTAAAAAGAGTCCTATTGAATTCTATTAGTTTAGTTCTTAAAAGTCAAATTTCTAATTAAATATACTATAATTATTATTATAGATAAATATCATTATTTTATTAATTATATATATTGCATAATTTATATGAAAAAAATTACAATATCTCTTAAAGATAAAAAATAAATTATTATCATAAAATTAAATATTAGCTTGTTATAAAAATTATTTCAGATATATAGAAAATAAATATTAAAACCTATATAATTTCTAAAATAATATTAAATAACTATAAATATTTATTTATAATAATCTGTTATCAAGTTAATAAATTAAATATAATATTTTTCTTTTGATTTAACTTTATAAAATATTTAGAATATTTATTTAATTTATTATTACAAATTAACTAAATAATATTTGTCTTTAAAATTTTATTTTGATAATAGAATTATTAATAGTTATTAGTTAAAATAAATTTATATATATTATAAAATTAAGTTATTTTAAGATCTGTGGATCTATAGCACAGTGGTTAGTGCTTCACAGGTCAGATCACAAGATACCGGTTCAACTCCAGGTGAAGGTAGTTGAATAGAATTAATATGGTATCTGGCACCATAATCAATCATGTGCTGTTTCTCATAAAAAGCTATTCATATGCCGATCTGGTAAGGCGTTGAGGTTGTGATTTCTCGTTAAAGGTGTCACAGCGTAACGATCATCCAGTTGGTGCATGATGATCGTCGAGAAGTCCCTTCATATGTAGGTTGTACAGGCCCCCTATGTATGTCGTATCCAATAGGCCGAATCTGACCATTCAAGGATTTCCTAGTTTGGAGCTATCCCAATCTGGCACTTGTTTAAAAGAAGTGGTCTGTGGGAAAGATCTACCGAAGCCGCAGGTGGTGACAAGGAGCAAGTATCTCCTCCGAGGGTCCAAACGAAAAGTATCAGGGTATCCAGAAACCCTAATCAACCTCTGCGAGATAAACATAAGGCCTCAAGACTGGGTTATAGGTTAGGTGGTTTAAAACTAGTGGTAGGAATTTCTCCCCTATAGAAACCCCACCTAACGTGTTGGATCCACCTTTGGTATAAAATTTATATAGTTGGGTTCTTAAGATGGATGGTAAGCTGTTACCCAAATAGAGTAGTGTTAGTTACAGTTAGAACTATTATCAGACACAATTGACAAACAAAAGCAATTGTTCCAATTATAAAAGACACTTGATGTAATTCCATTACAAAAGTATCAATAAAGATTTGCATCGTTGCCTGTTCATCTCAAAAAAAAAAAAAAAAAATTAAGTTATTTTAGAATTTTTTAAATTTGAATCTATAGGTTAATAATATAATGAATAATGTTTTCAGATCTTTAAATATATATTTTTAGTTCAATACTCATAGGAATCAAAATATATAAAAATTATAGGATCATTCAAAATAAAATACGAGATGCTTAAAAAACTAGATCCCATAGCAAAAAAGACTCTTCTCAAATTCTTCAACTTGTTTATCAATTCTGGAGTTATACCATCAACTTAGAAAAACAGTTTTTTATATTCAATTTCCAAGGATAAGGAATGACAAGGAGAACTTAATAATATAAGACCAATAATTCTCCTAGAAACAACACATAAATGCTTCACCAAAATTCTCAACAACCATTTGACACTTATCTGTAAGAAACACAAGATACTCAAAGGATCCAACTTCGCGGGACTTCCAGGAGAAAATATATCAGAACCCATTCACTTACTAAACAATATTCTCAAAGAGGCTTGTGAGGAAGGAAAGGAACTTTGGATTCTCTTCCAAGATACAGCAAAAGCATATATAACACAGTAAGTTTAGAAATGCTGGAAAAGGCGCTTCAAAGGATCAAGTTGCCAAGCAAGATTATCAAACTCTTGTTGGACCCCTTTACACAAAAGTCAATTAAAATAATTACAGATGTTGGGCTTACCAAAAAAATAATAGCAGGTGATGGTATCAATCAAGGAAAAACATTATCACCTCTTTTGTGGAGAATTTTTTATGATTCCCTCCTTTATGAGATTCAAGAAAATCCAAACTTGGGTTACACATCGAGCTGTGCATGGATAGCAAACTTTAACAAACCAATAACTGACCCTGATGCCTTTAAAAAACCATCAATAAGACAAGCTGCAATAGCCTATATAGATGATACCACATGGATAGCCAGGTCTCAGGAAGATATAAGGTACATTCTAGAAAGGGCAAAGGGGTTCTATGCAGCCAATAATTCTCAAATCAATGGAAACAAATTAGTACTGATCATGATCAATAGTTCAAATAAAAAGCCTAACAAAGTTCAGATTGGGGTCAATCAAAAAGAGGTTATAGAACTAGATTGCAAATGCCATTCGAGATTCCTAGGCATCTGGTTGGGCAACAAAGACCAAACCAAGGATACAGTTAATAGAATTTGTCAAAAAATTCAAGTAGTACTTAAAATCTGGGAAAAAAGCCAATAACAGACAAGCATGCTGAATATATAATCAATAGAGTTCTCATTTCCAGAATTGAATACAAAATGCAACACAGTTCAATAAGTATCCTCACAATCAATACTCTCTCAGCACAACTTAGGAAGGCTCTCAAGCAGGCAGCCAAGATCACAAAAACAATGTCAAACTTATCTATACATCACAAGACATTTTACAAGATTAAAAGCATAGGGGAAATTCAAATTGAAAGCCAAATTACTAACTTTATAAATTGTCTCAACAATATGGATCACTCTGATACATCCACCCTAATACATCTGAAGCAAGCTCAAGTTAAACACTGGGAGCCGGCAAACATACTATCAGAAGACACATTACACAATATATATAAGAAGAATTTTTCAGCCTAAACGATTAAAATGGCCAATAAGCTAGGAATAACCTTTTCGGATTCATATTGAAGAAACATATTCCATTGGGAAGGGGGACACATTACAATTAAAACCTTGTTAAGTGATTCCAAAGTATATGAGAAAGCAGCACATAACTTGAAAAAACATAACATAATGTTTGTAGATCAGCTCATAGATAAAGAATCGAGCAGCCTTCTGAACTGAAAATTGCTTCAGGAACCTCAGAGCCAAGGGCAAGGACCAATTTCAAAATGGTATCTCTTAGTAAAACAAACATTAGCAAATGAATTTGGAGTGCTAAAGACAAATTGGACAAGATATAACTGAATAGAGCAAGACAGATCACCCTTCATATCAGAAAAGCCAATGAATTTAAGAAGATGGAGCTGGCAAGTGAGTATAAACAACACTAGCAAAGAACTGTATTGGACCAGGAGTAAGGGGGCACTAACAATCACCAACAGTATGACTGAACATTTTCAAATCAATGCCAGTACTTTTCCAGGAACAACTGAATTTATGAAGACACTTCCAGAACATAGAAACACAGAAGAAAACTTT